GGAAGGCATGTATGTAGAAAATGTTTTTCCTTTTCCTCTTTATTGTACGTTGTACTAATTTACTTAATAATAAACAATAGTCTTTTCTTCAAATGAATTTGAGACTGGGAGTGTTAATGTGAAGTTGCCCACATGAATTGTTAAAGTTGAGAATACATTAATGAACTTGAAATTAACAAAATAAATGAAATATTCTTTTGGTATATAAAGGATTTTATTACCAAAAGAGAATCTGTACAACACCTTGACATGATAATTTGGAATTGGACAACAAGCCCCAACTTCTAGAGTGACTAATGCTCCTACATTTTTTATTACTAAAATAGGAGCAGATGTGATATGTATTCAAGAAACAAAAATGGAAACTTTGACGGATAGCACTATTAGAAGAGTGTGTGTTTGTTTGGGGTGGGGAGGGGAGGGAGTATGATTATTTTCCGGCACAGGAAAGTGCAGGACGAATATTTATTCTTTGGGATGATAGAAAGGTGAGAGAACAGAAAGGTGAAGTGTGTTGAGCTTAACAAGGGGAGTTCATGTTAGGTGTGCAGTTTAGAAACAAAATAGAGTGGAATGCAGTTTTTTTTTGGGGTGGGGTGGGTGTGTATGGACCTGTAGATAAGGGGTCTAAGGTTGAATTTTTGGAGGAGTTAGGGGATTGTATGGAGAGGTGGGAGATCCCTTGGGTGTTAGGAAGGGATTTCTAACACTAAACGATTTCTGGAGGAGAGGTTGGGTTGCAGGGCGATTTCCAGGGACATGGAGGAATTCTTGCAGTTTATCGCTAACTATCTTCTTATAGATTTACCTTTGATAGGTGCCAATTTCAACACCAAGCATTATCCAATTCCCTCTCTTGTGGAGATCATTCACCTATTATGTTGGATGGTGTAAGGGTAGAAGAATGAGATCACTTTTCAGATTCGAGAACACGTGGCTGTGAGTGACAAACTTTGGAGATAGAGTAGCCGGGTGGTGGGGTAGTTATGCCTTAGTGGGGAGACCATCTTTCAGACTTGCAAAAAAAGTATAGATGCTTAAGAAAGACTTTAGGTGTGGAATAAGAGGTAGTGTTTGGGAGGGTAGATGTGAAAATGAGGGATATTATGAATGAGGTGGGGGAGTTAGAAAGAATACAGGTGCGAAGGAAGTGGGACAAGTGGGAAATGGAGGAGAAAGAAATTTTAAAAATAGAGTTAGCTTTAAGAGACTAGTTGGAGACAAAAATTGAGGTCGTTGGGGTTGGAGTATTGGTACTCTAACACAAGTTCTTTCGCAGGGTAGTAGTTGCAAATAGGAGGAAAAATTTAATAGAGTCAGTAGAGTTTGGGGGGGGGGGGGGGGGAGATACATACATGTGGGAGAGGAGGAAGTAGAAAGAACAGTTGTTCAAAGAGGAAGCAGAACGGAGGTCAAGTTTGGGGGGAGGGGGGTTTGATTTCAATCAGATTGGAGGGGATAATAGTGAGTGGTTAGAGAGAAAGATTGACGAAAGGGAGGTGTGTGAGGCAGTGGAGTGTTGTGTGGGTGACAAGGCTCGAGGTCTAGATGGTTTCACTTTGGTTTTCTTTCAGCATTGTTGTACAGTCAGACATGATGTATTAAGTACTATTGATGAGTTTTAGGAGGGGTAACTTCGAAAGGAGCTTAAATGCTTCTTTGATTGTCATTTTTACTAAGAAGGAAGGGACATCTAGTATTGGGGACTACAAACCTATTAGTTTAGTGGGAAGCATGTACAAGATCATTTCTAAGGTGCTTTCTAATAGACTTAAGAGAGTTTTGGACAAGACTATTTCGTTTTTGCAAAATGCTTTTGTTGATGGAAGGCAGATTTTGGATGTAGCTTTGGTGGATAATGAAGTGGTAGATTCGAGGGAGAAACAAGGTGAGCCGGGTGTTTTGTGCAAGTTAAATTTTGCTGAGTTAAATGAAGATCTAACTGTGCTAGTGGATTTTGACCTGTTGAAGTGCACTTGCTTATATGTGGCAAGGTGCTTAACTTAAATCTTATCCCGGTGAGATTATTGTAATTGGAAATTCTCTTGAGTTAGCCATTCCATTAATCCTCCACTAATGTTTGGCGGATGTCTATTTTTGTCTAATGCTAAAGTTGTAGTATCCAGGAAATACTTGTCTCATGTAAATGTGAGCTTCATTAAATGTACTTAAATAAGATTTGTATCTTCTAAGCTTGACATGAACCGTATTTGTTCTAATGCTGAATTGAGGATAAGATACAAGGGACAAGACACGCCTTGCCACACCCTCAACCCCCTAACCCTGTGCTTTTCTTGTAAAATTTATTTATTTGAATATGTATGAAAGTTCAATCCTGTGCCTGTTTTGCTATCCTCAACAAGTATCTTCAGTCCAGGGGTGTGGTGCTAAGAATTCATGGTGTACACTTTTCTCTCTTTTTTTTGGCTGCTGAAACTTGTCTTTATATGACAGAAAAGAAGATTGATGAGACTCCGAAGAAAAGTATGTGCGCGTGTACCATAATGTGAGATTGTAAGTGATTCAACTTTAATCCTGTGGTATTCTTGGGGGGTAAACTGCTGCTGTGAAGTTCAGGGAAAACAGTATGATAGCTCATTGTTACTTGTTTGTTCGTTGAACGGCATTTCAATGTAACAGCGTGTCTATTTGTTTGAATGAATTTGGTAGGTGTACATTTTGTAATTGCATATTTCTTATACAGAAATACAGAAGGCGTGCTGGATTGCATGCTATAGGATTTTACCGACCTCTTGTTATTCTATTTTGCGTCATTATTATTCAACTTAGATCGTGAGGATCCGTATACTCTAATCTTGATGTCTAAAAAATCAAGGAGTATGCTGGATTCTAAATTGTTAGAAGCTGGTAGGTCATTTGCACTTTTCCCCCTGTTTTGTGCTGTTCTTTAGTTCCTCGCCCTTAAAGAACTTATGCTCCGTTAGACATATGTTTGATTTCTATGGGCAAAAATTTAAAATCAGCTCATTTGAAGGGGAAACCGTGCAATTAAATGGGAACTAGCGTGTTTCTGCTACCAGCAGTATTCGTTACTTTTATATGGGAAGCTGACCCCTCCCTTCATTCTTGGGGCCATTTAAGGAATTGTATTTATTGTTTTAGACATGCTAGACAAATTGAATACTCAAAAGAAGTTTGTGCTGTTTCTTGTCAGCAAAGCAGAAGCGTTAAATGTAAGAGCAGTCGATGGTTATTTTTTGTTGTGGGTAGTCAGTCATCCATTCTAATATTTGGCAGTAAAGGGTAGTTGATATTATCTATCCAACCAGATAGAAATCGAAGTAAGATGTGAAGGATGCCAAGCCACTTTAATGAGACTACTCAGTAAATGAGGATAGAGAGATAGGAACTGCTTCAAACCAGCACATAAGCAACAAAATAAGAACAAAATGAATAGGAAGTGCAAACATGATCTTTTGGAACAGAAGGATACAAGTAGGCTTCCAGCAATAAATACTCCTGAGTACAGTGACTAGGTATTGTTGGTGACAGGTACCTTAACTGGACAGTTTGTCAAGCCGACTTACAATTAACTTTACACACCGTGGGTATGTTCCCAAATGAACACTTTAGGGGAAAGCACTGGCGAGAAATATCTATCCCGAATGAACTTGTCAATATTTACTTGGATGGATCCACCCTCAATAGCTTCTTGGCAGGTTTTCCTTATTTCCATTGCTCTTCTCCTTATTTCTTTTCCTTGGTGGTTGTCAAGGTCCATAAAACTCTGCAAAAGCAGAGCAATTTCATCTTTCTTAACCAGGTTCTCGCTTTCCTTATTGATCCTCCACCCAATTTTCCAGTCCTCCACTATTTGTTTACTGTTGGTAAATTGATCAGTCACAATGGGGAATGTAAGAAATGGAACGCCAGCAAATGCACCCCACCCTCCTTGGTTGAATTCCATCCACACTGTGACCAAAATCCACCTACACTAGGATGGCACAAAACTTTCAATTGATCGCACCAAGGCACCACGATTCCCCTCTTCTTCCCAATTCCGTCTGATGCATTCTCATGTCCCAGTCCCACCCAAAATGTTCGGACACTGCTACTGTGTATGATTTCATCTAGCAGTTCTTTTGATACAGACATGAAACTTCCTTGGGATATGTATAGAACAGAGTCCTTAGGTTGATCATCAAGCCATGACAAGTAGGCTGGTTAGTTTTGAATTCGGTATCTGAAAAAGGGATTGTTGGACCAACAGTGAAAATGGGGACTGAAACTTCAGCTTGTAAAGCCTCAATTACTTGAGATTCCAATGCTCCAATGGTGGTGAACAAGGCATACTGTGCTTTATTGGCCAATTGTGATACAACTTGGAGAAGGAAGGGTGGGCCACATCTCCCGTTGTTTGCTGCTGTTAGAATATAGATGGGAGATCCGTTACGCGAATTGGTGTAATCCCAGGAATGTAATTTACGACCTCTTCTCCTTGCTCTGTTCATCATGAAATTAAATATAAGTAGTTGTATTTTTCAAAAGATATTTTCAAAACATTGTTTGATTTGATTATAAGTTAGAATGATAAAATAACAATATTTTTTGTAGCATGATAATTTTATTATAAAAAGATAAACTAATGTTTAATTCTTAAGAAAATAAGTTACATATCTCTCGATTTATGTGACATATTTCGTTTTTCGAGGGTGACTAGGAATTTGCACATGAAATTTTTAATTTTTTAAAAATAAAATTTATATATTTGTAAACTACGTAAAAAGTGTTATAAGTGACAATAATTGACAATCCAAAATAATTAAAAGATATATGAAAAATTTATCATTAAAGATAGATTTGTTTGAATTTTGAAATTCGAAATGTGTTACACATAAATTGAGATAGAGGGAGTACAACAACTATTTATATTAATATATAATTTTTATTTGTATTTTGAATAGTTTAATTATTTTTATCAAATATGAATACTCAAACTTTTTTAAAAATAAATCAAAAGAAGTATTTAGATCGGGTCATTATATCTTAATATTTGAATGTATATTGAGATTCAGATGTTTCTTACTCATATCAATTCGGCAAGTAGCAATACCTGCTTCAAAATGTCCATTAGCAAGTAGTAGTTGATGATGATAAACGATGGAGAAAATCGTGAGAGACATAGGCCAAAATGAAGCCACCGGAATATTCCTCCGTTCCCCAATACTGACGGCCCACGGTAAGAACGAATCAGCTAAAATCACATTGGGTTTTGGAACCGCGTCAAGTATACTATCAACAGGAGCTTCCATTTTAGTAAATACAGCTTTCACAAAGCCTTCAAAATCTTTGCTTCTCTCCTTTTCTGATGGAATTACATTTGGTATAGTTAGAAATTGGATATTATCTGGTTTTGGATCTGATTTCAAAAAGCTGAACCACTCTTCTGTAACAATAAAAGAGATTTGTAGTAGATGATTTGGTGTGGATGTTGCAGCTATGAGCTTGCACAGATTCATCAATGGATTGATGTGGCCTCTACCTGGATACGGAATCGCCAATATCTGGCAACTCAATAGGGCTTCATCGACGTCGGTAAGTTCCATTCACAGATCCTTTTGCTTTTATGAATAGGAAAACGAAAATTAGGGATTTAGGACTGATAATGTTCACCAAATTACTGATTGATGAAGCTCGGGTAGTGCGGAATTTAGCCAAACAATAACAAAGACAATAATAAGTTGATAATAACGAATGTAAACCAATTAAAGAAGACACAAATTTAACGTGGTTCGATCGGTGTGACTTAATCCGCTATATCAACAAGAGTATAAAATTAGAGTAAATACTTTAATTAATCCCAAATACCCAAAAAGAATAACCTCACAAGATCACTTCAAAAAAAAAGGTTCACACAATTATTTTTTTTAACACCTTTTACAAAATTACTCTTAATGGAAAGACAAAGAAAAAAAGAAAGCAATGAAATATTTTCGTATGCTTCAAGGTGTATTTCAACTAATGTCTAAATTTCCTATTTATAGAGAAAAAATACACTTGTTGATGTGCTTCCAAATCTTGGACAAATATATTTGCTTCCAAATCTTTCACAAAAGAAAGATGAAATATTCAACATCTCAATGTGCTTCCAAATCTTTGACAAAATATACGGAAAAGGGTCAAAATTGCCCCTGAACTATGCGAAATAGACCACTTATACCCTCCATTACATTTTGGGATAAAAAATACCCCATTGAGATGTTGAATATTTAATTTTCGATTGCGACCTAATTTTCTAAAATAAATAACTTGCAATATCCATATTAAAAACATCCAATATTATTACGAAAAATAATCAAAATTACTTCTCGATTCAAATCTCCTACTATATATATACATATAATGCATCATTGTACATTTTATACATTTACATATGACATAACATATAGTGTCTTCAAACTCCTACTTAATCGATATCATATTTGGTTTTTTAAAAACAATGAAGAAAAAAACACAAAATTAGAATTTAGTGTTAAAAACTTTTAGTGACGATTTTCTGGGATTTTGTGGCGACTGTTGTTGCCGCTAAAGGTCTAGTTCTTTTGTAGTGAATTCTAGGTGGCAACGCTTAGGTGGAAGGATTAGTCCCACGTGGCTTACCACGTCAACAAAAATTTGGGGTGTTAACTTTTGAGGGTATTTGTGGTCTCTTAGGATAACAGCAGGGGCATTTTTGATCCCAAAATATAACGAAGGGTATAAATGGTCTATTTCATATAGTTTGAGGGCAATTTTGACCCTTTTCCACAAAATATATTTGCTTCCAAATCTTTCACAAAAAAAGATAAAATAGTTTTCTTCAATCAAACAAAAAAAGCCACATTACATATACAATAGGCTGTCTCCAATATTGCATGTTTTTTTTTAAATATTTGCAGTGGTCCTCGTTGCCAGTTTGCAATTTAATAATGATTCCATATTAACTCTTAGCAACACATTCTTTTTACGGCACAGTATTTAGTGGCGACCTCCATTTGATCGGCATCGCTTCAATATAATGTGTGACAATAGGCTGAGCCAATGTTAGGAGTTTGGAGGTTCTAAATCAATTTTGTTTGGGGGTTCACATGTTTATATACACTATTTATTCAATTTTCTAAATACAAATATAGGATCTACAAAAAAGCTTCTGGGTTCATAAGAATCCATGAACCCCCACCTAGCTCCGCCTCTGTGTGACATCATTGTTAATCGACTCATTTCCTACATTTATGAATCTAAGATACTTGAAGCTCTTTTTCTTGGTAAGCACCATAGGTAGACATGATACTGTATTCAAAACTTTAGTTGGAAATTTCAATTTTAAAAATATTATACCATTATAATATCAAATTAATTCGGTATTTTACGGTACAGTAAATTAATAATCATAATTTGTTCAACTACAACTTACATATATTCTTATAATAGGTGATAGGATAGAATATATAAGTACACTCAGTAAATGAAAGCAGCACAAGAAACAAAACAATCCCAAAATAAGAGCAAAACGAATAGGAACTATTTCCTAGTGCAAACATAACCTTTTGGACGAGAAGATCACAACGGTACAAGCAGCTTATTACAGTGACTAGAACCGTATTGCTGGTCATGGGTACCTTATCTGGACAGTTTGTCAAGCCTAAAGTATAGTAAATCGCTGCCTTGTGTCTCGAAAAATATCCCGAATGAACTTGTCAATATTTCCCTGGATGGTTCCACCATCAATTGCTTCTAGGCAGGTGTTCCTTATTTCCATTGCTCTTCTTCTCATTTCTTTTCCTTCGTAGCTGTCATGGTCCATAAAACTCTGCAAGAGCTGAGCAATTTCATCTCTCTTAACCAGTTTCTCGCTTTCCTTATTGATCCTCCACCCAATTTTCCAGTCCTCCACTATTTGTTTACTGTTGGTAAACTGATCAGCCCCAATGGGGAACGTAAGAAATGGAACGCCAGCAAATGCACCCTCCTTGGTTGAATTCCATCCACAATGCGACCAAAATCCACCTACACTAGGATGGCACAAAACTTTCAATTGGTCGCACCAAGGCACCACGATTCCCCTCTTCCCAATTCCATTTGTAAGTAAGGATACATTCTCACGTGCCACCCAAAACGTTCGGACACTACTGCTGTGCACACCTGCTATAATTTCATCTAGCTGTTCTTTTGATACTGACATGAAACTTCCTTGGGATATGTATAGAACTGAGTCTTTAGGTTGATCATCAAGCCATGACAAGTAGTTTGGACTAAGCTGGTTAGTTTTGAATTCAGTATCAAAAAAAGGAATTGTTGGACCAACTGTGAAAATGGGGACTGGTAATTCAGCTTGTAAAACCTCAATTACTTGAGATTCCAATGCTTCAATGGTGGTGAACAAGGCGTATTGTGCTTTACTGGCCATTTGTGATACATATTCGAGAAGAAAGGGCAACATCTCCCGTTTTCTGTTGAATGAAGATGGGAAATCCTTTACGCAAATTGGTTTAATTCCAGGAATGTAATTTACCACTTCTTCTCCTTGCTCTGTTCATCATGAATTTTTGGATATAAGTAGTTGTATTTTTCAAAATATATATTGTTTGATTATACGTTAATATGATAAACTTCCAACTTTACAATCAGTAAGGTGGACAACAAGTTGGGATGAATGTATCAACTAACAGCGAAAATAGACGGATCTCATGAAATTTAAGGGAGACCAATAGTATACTCCAGCTGCTCAAAGGCATATAGGATGGGTGTACTATTACAAAAAGATAGATTCAATATATAAATTTGATCTTTAGGTTTTATCATTTAAACATTTAAAATTATAAGATCAAAATTAATTCTTATAGACGTGACAAGTGTTGGTCCAGAGCCGTCTTAACCCCTAGGCCACTAAAGTCATTGCTTGGGGCCCCATATTCTTGGGGGCTCCCTTTTTAAAAAAAATAATTACTTATATATGTTATTTTAGAAAAAAATTATAGGTAGTATGAGAGCTATGATTCTACTAAGGAAATTGCATATAAAATGAAATATAGAACCTAAATTTTGTATGAAATCATTTTATGAAAGCATTGATAACGAAATTACAAAGTCCCTTGAAGTATCTTTTAGAGTTGATTACTTTATGCATATATGAAAAAAAAATTAATTTCTTAGTGGTAAATATTGAGATCATTAGATATGAAAAAGTTAAAGGTTAAAAAACATTGTGTTAACCTTGAATTTTCTTTAACACATACTCCCTCCATTTCAAAAAAGAATAAACTTCTTTCCTTTTTAGTTTGTTTAAAAAAGAATGACCTATTTCCTTTTTTGATAATATTTTACTTTCAGCTTTCCACGTGACATGTTTATGACCACAAGATTAAAGGACAATTTTGTACATTTGACATAACTTTAATTTAGGACCACAAGATTCAAAAGTCTTTTTTATTTTCTTAAATTCGGTGCCAAGTCAAACTAAGCCACTCTTTTTGAAATTGAGGGAGTAATATTTATTCTGATATTGATGATTTAAATTTATTTTTTTGAATTAAAAACGTTAAGAGAAATAATACAAGTAGAAGATACTAATCTAATGAAAATACTCAATCAAATAAAAAGACTTGATTATTTTCCAAATACGCATAGTGCTTATTGAATAATGTTAACAATTCATGTAATTGTTGCCTTAATCGAAAGAAGCTTTTCGAAAATAGAATTAATTAAATCTTATTTAAGATCAACAATGTTTCAAGAGAGATTGAATGGATTAGCTATATTATCTATTGAAAAGGAATTATTAAAACAAGATCATAAAACAGTAATCAATGACTTCACATCTAAAAATGGTAGAAAAATAGATTTTAAATAAAAGTATTACGATGAGAAAAAAAATATTAGGTCCTCTCTTAAGTTTTGCTTTAAGCCCCTAATCTTGTTAACCCGGCCCTGGGTGTTACTCAATTTTAAAACGAAAAAAACAAGATAAATATAAGATTTATATTTCTATACTCACTTAGAGAGGTGCAAGTAGCAATACCCGTGAAATTGGCTTCAAAATGTCCATTAGCAAGTAGTAGTTGATGATGATAAAAGACGGAGAAATTCGTGACGGACATAGTCCAAAATGAAGCCACCGGAATATTCCTCCGCCCCCCAATACTGACGGCCCACGGCAAGAACGAATCAGCTAAAATCACATTGGGTTTCAGAAGCCCGTCAAGTATTCTATCAACTGGAGCTTCCATTTTAGTAAACACAACTTTCATAAAACCTAAGAAATCTTTGCTTCGATCCTTTTCTGATGGAATTATATTTGGGATTGTTCGAAATTGGATATTATCTGGTTTTGGATCTGATTCCAAAAAGCTGTACCACTCTTCAGTTACAATAAAAGAGATTTGAAGTAGATGATTTGGTGTGGATGTTGCAGCTATGAGCTTGCACAGATTCATCAATGGATTGATGTGGCCTCTACCTGGATACGGAATCGCCAATATGTGGCAACTCAATAGGACTGGATCGGCGTCGGCAATTTCCATTTACAGATCCTTTTGCTTTTATGAATTGTAAAACGAAAGCTAGACTT